AAAGAGTGTAGTTGCTGAGGAAATGGAGAGATATGTGAACTCAAACGTTCCGATGCATTCGTTAAAATTTCAACCTTTTATTGCTGTGTGCATACGAGACAAATGCAATACTCAATAAGGGCAATAGGGTAAACGTGTTTTTAAGGTCATTTGTTAATTGTCCATGAGCTGCACACTTGCACGCTATATATTATTTTTTAAGCAAAACTCAAACCTTTTAAACACATATTTCTATTTTTACTATTTTTTTATCTTGTTGTAATGTAATTTTTATTGATCAAAAATATTATTTTTTAAGCAAATGTCAGGGGAAAAAACATACAAATAGCATCCTATTCATCGTCGTAGTATCAAGGTACCCGTTTTATTAAATAGTCACACTCAAATGGGTTCATATGCTAAATTTAGTGGAAAAGAGATTCTGAGGCAAAAAATCAGAGGAAAGACACGTAGCCTTGCTTACGCGAATTATAAAAAATAAATAAATAAATAAAAACTAACAGAGAAACGGTCTTGAGGTAAAGACACGTGTAGCCGTACAACCAGATTGCATAGGTTAGTTTGTATCTACGGATATGGAGAAACTTCGAGGATTGCTTTTGCCATAATTCTTCAATTATTTATTTTTTCAACGGATCTTACGATAAATCCCAATCCATCCATAAGGAATATTTACTTCAAATCCAAACACAATTATAGCCGGTGAAAAAGAGAAGGAATGGAGCGAAAATTCAGAACCACAGACGCAAAGAATATAAGGAAATCAAGCAAACAATTATATTCACACAAATCAAGCACTAAACATTAATGTTGCCGAACTCTTAACGGACTTTTTTCATCCCCATTGTGCGCTTCAGACATGTTACACATCATTCAATTGCACTCAAATTGGATAAAGAAATGGTGAGAATTGCTAGGGGAAGTTGAGAAGATGTACATAAAGGATGTAACTAGACCATGCAATGAAGGAGAACAAAATGAGTGAACTAACTATCAAGAAATATAGTGCTATTAAATTATTTAGTGGGTTATTCATGACTATCACATTTTGGGTAGAATCGTGGAGTATTGGAATTACATTAACAACATGTTTTCGGCTTTTTTTTTGGGAAAAAAAATAGTTGCAAAATAAATTGTATATTTGAGATAATAGCTTAAATTCGTAAATTTTTTTTTTTTTTGAAAAATAAGTTGTTTTAAAGAAGTTTAACAATTGAAGTTTAAGATTATTCTTCAACATTTTTTTATCTTTTTAAGTTGATTCACTACATAAAAATATTTTTTTATCCAAAAAAAAATAAATATTAAAGAATCACTTTCAATAAACTTATCCAAACAAAATTTAAATATGATTATTAACAATTATTATAATTATTAATTATTGAAATAATTTAATTTTTATAACTTTTTCAGATATACACCAAACCTAAAATACATCATGGTTTATTTCCTTTATATAATTTGTTTTCACCTCTCATACTTGCACATAAATTACTTTTCGTGCTCTATTATCAAGTCTCTAAATAAAGACACTCTATCAATATCCATCCCTCAAGTAATTCATCAAAAGTTGTCATTAATACCAGTAAAATAAAACTAAATTAGGTTTATTGATATTAATGCCATATTTGATATTTTTTTCTAAATTATATTTTTGTTATTTATTTTATTTTTAAAAATTTATTTTAGTCATTTATTTATTAAAATAATTATTTTGATCCGTTATTTTTATATTTATACCAATTTGGTCCTTTTAAAACATTAATAATTTTAATTTTATGACACAATTTTGAATAATTTTTAACTATTATATATGTGAATAAGTATAAATAAAATTAATTTAATTTAATTATGTGCATTATATTTGTCAAAAATATTTAAAAAAAAATTGAACAGTTTACTAGTCAGGCAAACAGTCCAGAACTTATGGAACGCATGCAGGTGTGATACTCGAGGCAGCAGGCCACATCAGACGCACTTTCGCATCCAAAACTGAACAAAAAAAAGTCCAATCGGCCCAAGTATACGGTGGTTCAAACCAACTCAGAGTAGGAATCAGAAATAAATCTGTTTTCATCGATAATATTTAAATTTATCTCAATTTAAAAAATAATAATAATTTGATTGAATACGGATACAGATAAAATCTAAAATATTAAATCAGGGATAGGAAAAGATATATATTTATTCATCCCGTCCCATTTTTGTTTTTATTCTCATCTCTCATTTAATATTTGTCCTCGGATTAATTGTTTTAAAAAATTTCAATATTTAATTATGTATGATTATTTATTATGATATGAAACATTTATGCTTTGTTAATTATTAAAGAGTCTTTTTGATTAAAATATGAGATAGACAAACAATTCAATTACAATGATAATATAATAGAAAGATAAGTTAAAAATAGTATGTATTTTTTTTGTAAAAAAATTAATTTGTTTTCGATAGGTACGAGTATATTCGATACACGACAGTGATGGAACAAAAATTACATACCCGACGAGTACAGAAATAGAGATGGAGATGGTTTAAACCACAAGAACAGGAATGGATATCATAAAATTCGTATTTGACCTATCCTGTTATCATATTTAACTCAGACCGATCGATCTAAACTATAAATTAACCTTTAATATAATAAATCTAAATCATGAATTAATTATGGATTAAGTAAATACTTAAATAAAAAAAATATCTAAAATTTAAATAAGATTGATTAATGCATTGTATTTAAAATAATTTATTTAGTTTTTATTCACTCTAAACATTTCACAAAATAAGTAATTACTAGAATGAGAAAGTTAGACTTAAAAAAAAGTTAATAAATATATTTCTTTATGCATCGTGTTTTAAAATTTGAATTTTAAACTTAATTGTATCTAAAGTGATATATTGTAAATTTATAATAGAATTATGAGATGAGTGTGTTACACATTCTATTTACTTATCCAATATAAAGGACAAATATCTATATGCATAACATAAATATACATACACATTATAGCATTCATACTAATTCAATGATTTTATGTTATAAAAAAAATAACAAAATCTTCTTTTATTTTATTTATTTTTAAAGTATCAAATTTGTTATAGTGAATCCATAAAAAGGCACCTTCTGTATCTTTTAGTATTGGATTTTTTAATTTATAAAAAATTAACATTTCTAATCAGATTTATATAAATAAAAATAAAAATTAGTTTCCTTTAAAATCCCTGTCCATTATTACTACCAATCAATCAAAATATCTATAAAAAAAAAGGAGGGGCAAAAACTTTCATTTTTTTATTTTGGTAAAAAGTTCGCTCGTACCAATTATTTCAAAAAAAAGAAATCTCAGGTTGATTGAATTTAAAGTATTTAATTTTATCGAAGATTTACTTCACATTTTTGAATTGCAACCAAAAAATATTTGTCTCAAAGGTACGTAAAATTTTGAAAAAATGACAATGATTATTATCTTATTTGTAACAAATCCGGAGTAACTCATCCGTTGAATTGAAGTAATTCTTAATTATTCAATTTATTACATCTTAAATTTTAATAAACTGATTTTAAGTTATTCATAAAAGAATAAATCGTAAAAAAATATATGAATATCTCTATTATAAGAAAAAATATATAAGCCATTTATTACTTTATAGAAATGATTCATTTGTTTTAATAAGGAAGAATCCAAATTTAACAAATCCCAAAATTTTAATATTTTTTTCCTTTATTTATATTTCAATAAATTCAAATATCTCTAATAATCTAGATTCTTATGGAAAATATTGAAATAAAATAACTTTTTATTGATTAAATTTTCAAAATTAAATTGTCAATAACAAAGGTAATAAGTATTGGTCTTGCTAAAGAATATATATATCGGTATATATAATAATTGATAAAAGTTATATTAGTGTTTCCCCCCCTCCCCCCTCTATATATATATATATATATATGAGAAATCTAATTATTTTAAGAGTAGGTTTATTTATATTTACTTCATTCACACATCAATCATTTATGTTTTATATTAAATTTTAATGTTCTAATTATTGAATTAAAAAAATTTAATGTGTAAATAAAGTATAAATTTTTTTAAAAAAATTTAAAATTATTTAATATTTCGTTTCAATAATTTAAATTGATAAATAATCATAAAAATATTTTATACATTGATTTAAATTAATAAAACAGAATATCATATGATTTTAAATTTTTAAAAAAATTATAAACTTGATTTATAATTAAGAATTTTTAATTTAATGATTAAATTATTAAAATTTAATATAAAATATAAATTATTAAATAAAATAAATTTAGATAAATTCACTTTTAAAAAAATAAATCCCTCTTTATATAATATATACAGTGTGTGTGATTTATACAAAACCCCTCCTTTCATTTACAATAAAATGGTTGAAATCCTATAAGAAGAAAAAAAGTGTGAAAGAAACGGTAAAAATGTGTATATTATACAACTTTTTTTTTTAATGGGATTGCAGTTCAATTCTCATAGTACCGTTTTCTCAAAGGAAAGTTGCGTGTTCGAGCCTCATTAGTCCCAACGGATACAAATTCAGTAAAAAAATAATAGTTTATTGTTTCCTTAAATTACTTTATTAGCTAAAGGTAGTAGAGAATCGAGAATTATAACTTTTTTTAAATTGTTTAAATCCTAGTTATAAAAGCAGTATGAATAGAAATACAAAGTTTATAATGATAATAGAACTCCTTTTTGTTTTCAAATTTTGACTTAAAAAATAAAATGTTTTGAGAATTCTAATTTTGGTTAAAAATAAAGAAAATATTTTGAAAAACAAGAAGAAGAAAAAAATACTGATTTTCAAAATCTTTGTTTAGTCAAACTATCAATTAGAAGATTTAACTTATATAAATTGCTATTGATTTAATACAATTAATGGAAGCCGTTTTATTTAAACATTGTGCACGTAATAAAACAAAATAGGCTAAAAACTTAATTTGGTCCCATATAATATTTGTTTGTTTTAATTTAGTCTCATTTTAATTTTTTGTTTCAATTTGGTCCCTAATAATTTAAATTATTGCAATGTCGGACTTCCGTCCAAATTATTTAAACGGAGTTAACTGTTGGTCATGTGGATGTCACGTAGATGCATAG